TCAATACAGCAAGGCCTCAGTTTGAGATTTTCCCGTAACGACCTCACTCTCGGTTATTAAGTAGTTAATATAGCATATTTGTCCACATAATTTTAAGATTGGAAAAATGGGTTTTACAAATACTGAATGTTGATTTATTGTTTGGTTTCAGTTTGAACCAGATGTTCAAGCCAGGTGGATGATCTTGAATGACAGGAGCAACTCAAAAACACAATGTTTGGTTGTCTCCTTGATGAACTACAGTGATTTCATCTGGCAACTCTGTGGAGAACCTTCTGGGCATATAAACCTCTTGAAATATTCAGTTTTTTTTACATGTAGTGCATGTTGTGTGATAATCTTGTTTTCTTGTTGACTGAGAATTTCTAGCATTAAGGGAACTTTTACACTGCAGTAATGTTGCTTCTGTTGCTTTTGTGTTTTGATGATTTATCATTGCCATGTGGTTTCATTTTTGTTGAAACTTTGCAGTCATCACTTAAGACCACATGTGTCCAGTGACTCTAGAATTAAGTCTGTTTCCCTTATCACCAATACATGTCTAATCAGTCTTTTGAATTGTGACTTAATGTTCATAAAGTTAACAACTTGGTAGTACTAATTTTCTTTTAATCGAACCTAGTCACATCATTGTTTTTGTATTCTATAGCATAATGTCAACATTCTCAGTCTACAAAATGTAGTTTGTAATGCATGATTTAAACAAAAAAAGGCAGTGGTTTCACTGTAGGTACCTTCATATTGCACCTCCTTTATTTTGTTATGATGCCTTTGCCAGGCAGTATCATGTTGTGAATTTATTTTGTATGTTATTAACTCTGACTTTCCAAAAGTTCCTTTAGTATTGATCACTTCAATTTATCCTGTGCTTTTTTTTGAGCATGAACTACAGTTTGACTGTACTATTTTGACTGTGATTGTTATTTTATGTCCTCTTTATTTTGATTTCTAGATGTTTAATAAACTGAGCCATTTGCCTAACATGTTATCTTGTAGTGTGT